TCACTAATAACACACAAACATGCAGATGAAATTTTACGGTGATCGCAGAAGCATGTTATGCGGTAGAGCCCAAAGTCGGGGAGAGAATGCAGCATAGATAGCAAACTAGGAAAGCTACTGCAGCTTAGTGAGTGCGACTGAGGCGTGCAAATCTACAAAATTACAGTTTCCACAGCGGTGGATGCATGCTTTGTTAGTATAACGTAGGTTATTTGGTTACTGCTTCAGAAAGAACCTACGTATACATGTGTTATATACATGTTATATACAATATAGATCATATATATACATATAAACAGTTTATAGAATAAATATGATATATATAAACCCATAATATATATATATATATATATATATATATATATATGCGCATGGCATGTAGATCATATATGCAGAATATATATCCCTATAAGAGGGTGCTCTAAACGCGTTAGCATTGAATTGAAGTGTGATGGCAGCAAGAAATTCCTGCGGGTGTCTATACAGTGCAGGGTCTTGGCCTTACCATTCTTCTCTTTCTCTCTCACTTTTCACAAAATCTTCTTCTGCAGCAGAGCTGACGAACTCGCCGAATCCCATGCTGATTGCATCGGCTAAGAGGTTTCCCACTCCGATGATGACAACCTTTGAAGGATGCAAGTTGGCGCCGACGCACCCCGCAACAATAGCAAAAATAGTAACAATACCTGCAATAAAAATACACTCAAAACATCTCTAATTCAACTCTGAAACAAGCCATATGTTCCAGGATTTATGGTTTATAGTTTAGGGGTGTAGGGTGTAGGGGGAGCAGCCGTTGCATACACGCACCATCGAGACCCCCAAATACTATTGCTTTCAAATAGTCCGAAGATGTTTGCTTGTGAGACTCTGTATGAGCACATGCCAACTCATTGTAGTTGCTGTGTTGATGGTGGTGATTATGCGCCTCTCTGAAAACGACAACACAAGCGAAACAAATTCAAAGTTTTTGCACTCTTTTTTTTTTGCTGTCCAAAAAGAAATCTTAACTCGGTGGTTAAAACTTTCCATCAAGCGTCAATACACCACGCCCCCTGAATGCATATTCTACTATGAGATCTTGTTATCTCTCTACATGCACCCAGGAGCCAAGTTCGCTTGCCTTGTGGCGTGTACGTCTCTCGTTTTGTATGCAAGACGAGCCTTGTCGAGGTCCCTGCCCGGAACCCCCCCTTTTGAGCAGCATGGTTGCTGAACTGAAGCGAAGCAGGCGGCCTCAACGGCCCCAGGATTGTCTAGAAGAGGTAGAGATTTGTCGTGTTGCATCGTCCCTATGAACCGACTTGTTCAGGGTGAGGTCTGGAGCCTGTAGTATGTCCTTTCTAGCAAAGTGTATATCCACAGTATGCTTGGAAGGTAGGTGTCAACAACTACACCAGAGGGGCCCCTTCTAACCCCCACGTCGGCCAGTAGGCCCCCTGAGTCAACAGTGAGCAGCGCCCATAGAAGAGCCACAGCTTCCGTGCTAGTCGTTAGGTTCTAGTCATGGTATTGGATATATAAACAAATAATGCGGTCGGCACCCGCCTCAGCAATCTATGGAACAGCTAAGGGGGGTGGGTGTACAGCTGAAGAAGGCGCAGCTGTTTCAAAGATAGTGACAGAGTCCGAAGGTTCTGCAGATTCCTCTGGGAAAGCCGCAATCAGTTGTGATGAAATACTCTGATAAATATGTAGATAAACTCTCATCCTAGCATCAGCTCCTCTAATGACTCAGCCACCCCTCAGTCAGCCCCACAAACGAGCACGCTTACCTCACACGTTCGCAGCATAAGCCATCATACCGTCTTCTTATTATTTTATATTGAAATGTTTAATTTGTTGAATGTTTTGTTCCTTCTTCTATGGTCTGAAGAATTAAACAACAAGAAGAAAAGGGATACAACACCACTGCACCGTATTCATTCCCTGCTGGTGTATGCCTCGGCCGACATCTGGCCAATCGCTACTGCACCGGAGCAGTTGAAACTCAACAGATCACTAGTAATTAAATTGTTGCATAGAGTTGAATCTAGGGGATTCACGGAGTAAATTCCATGTATCGAGGTTCCTCACTAACAGAACCGACGAGTTGTATAAATTCAGCTGTCGTTATTTTTCTGCATCGCTCTGACAATGGCGCTGTTATGAGCAGTTTCATCTTCTGGAATCGTTGCACAGTAATTCCTTGCGGCGAAGCGGCTCCATTCATCTACACTGAGGCTGCTAAGGGATTCATCTTTGGCTAACGTATCATGTTGGGTGTGAGGGGGGTCCTCCGATCGTATTCAGGACCGTCACGAACTGCTGTACAGTCAAAATACTTAGGATAATCGCTCTTGGGAAGCAGCTTACCTTACCTCTCCTCCAGCCCCCAGGCGGTCTGGCGCCGGTGACGCGAAAGCCTGAAAGAGAAGGCGGCCTGAGCTGAGTTAGAGCCCACATTGCGGCAACTCCTGCAGCACGGCGGCCGCACGTGCAGGCACAACATAGTTCCCTTTAGCTGCATGCACTAACGCTGTAGATACCTGTTGAACACTTACTTGTCCACTTGGCGCGGAGAAGTTTCAGTCCGCTTGTGTTTCGATTTGCCGTTCAAATGAACATTTCAAAAGAATAATATCTGCTTCTGAACTTATTCCTCGCATTCCCTCCATAATATCAGCTGAGCACAGGGCGCATTGAGCTCGCGTGCTGGAAACCTCGACGGCTGACTGTTCTGCGGTTTTTGGCGACAGTTAAAATATATTAAGCACAAAGGGAGTGTGAGCGCATCGAGGGAAACATAATCCCAGTTTATTACTGCTTTCAGCTGGAAAGACGAGGAGTGCCGCCAATCCTCTCTCTAAACTAAGCCGGCCCCCTGTGATCGGCTTTTTCGCTTTTTCAAGTGATTTGGCAATGAATATTCACTTGATATGTAGTATATGCACTGAGTATTGAAACAAGTAAATCAACAGTGAGACAGTGTTTAGAACCGTTTAAGCAGGATTGTGTAAATGACACTTGAATATTTTGTCGCACTTCCTAGCGCCCCTGGGCAGTTCCACAATTTGCCTGGCGACCGTTGCAATAGCATTTTACTCTGTTTATCTTCCTGGGAGTTTTCGGTCTCACTGCGTTTGCCCCGTTCCATGCAAACGATCCAGCCGCAGGCCTGGCTTAACGAGGACATTGCAGCATTCAGGAACCTGCTCTGTGAATGTGCTTTCGCGTTAATACTACGCACCAAGCCGGCAATTGCTTGTAACTAGTTGCCGGGTAGCCGATGCAGCTCCAAATTTCCTTTTGACTTCCCACAACTGAAGCGAAGCGAGGCGAGGCCTCGCCTCTGTCCACCGGTGCTGCGTAAAGTGTGCGTTTAGACAACACCTGAGGATGTGATATTATGATATTAGGGGTGACTGCAAATTGATCTAGGCTTTTAACCTTGTCGGAACATGTTGCAAGAAAGCGTGTTTCTTGGTTTCCGAAAACTGTTTTATCATTTCATCGGTAGGAGCAGCAACATGCAGGAGCGAGGTGCCTTGCGCGAACTTCTGCTTAGGCAGTGCAGTGTGACTGTCAGGTGACGGCAGGGTATACTTTTGACAAAAGAGCGTTCCAAGCATGAGAGCACT